AATATTACCATGAATTCTTGGTAAAAGACCATTGTTTATTAGATGGTTTCTGATATTTTCAAGGTAAGTTCTACCAATCCCTAGCATATTGAGATAAGTCTCTTGACAAAGAAGTGTATTGTGATCCCAGTGGTAGAAAGTTCTTTTATTAGATCTGGTTTTCTTTTTAAGGCGTCTACTGGCACTTACTGTCCCACCATCCATTGCCTTAAGTTGGGCCATTAAAAATATGTCTTGTTCTGTTTTAGTAAGAGCTTGAAAGGATTCCCTTAATTCTGCAAATTCTTCCTTGGGAATTTTTGAAGAGCAGCCACAATTACATCCTTTTTCTAAAAAATCAATTGCTTTTTGATATTCATCAGAACCATTATATTTATTACCTTTGTTAATACTTTTCATATACACTTATCCCTATATATATAATTTTATGTTCACTTTGTAGGTTTTTTACCATAAACTTGAACTTGAAAATGGATTAGTTATGAATAACTACTTGACATAAAATTTAAAAACTATTCAGTGATCAAAATCATACTATGCAGTCTCTACATTATGTCATTTTATAAAAATGATGCAATTGATATGTTGGATGATTCTTCTTATTTAGAGAAATAACAATAGAAATGCTTTATTTAAAAATAAACTGCCTTAAATCATTTCCATTTGTTATCTACCATTTTTTTATTGGTTAAACTTTAATTAAAAAAATTTTTTGATAAAAATAAATTCACTTTTATATTGATTGAAGTAGCTTACCAACCAAAGGTTGCAGACAGTTGCAGACTTACAGCAGTTGCAGCATTGGATGTCAATATTTTTTTGGGTTGCAACTTCCTAGTTGCAGAACCATCTTTATTTTATTTATTATTTTATCTTACTAAGACTGGGATGCCTTTCTTAGTTGTAAATACTAACCCATCCAGATTTATAATTTATAGTGCTTGGTGGGAGTATCTGCCATAAAGGGTACCATTTTAACTTAGAAATTTTAGTTTAATTTTGTATTTTTATTGTATTTTGGATTCCTATGTACTTTAAAACATAAAAGAATTGAGTTAGTATCAAAGACAGAAGAAAGTCAAATCAGCTTTATTTTTATTTTTATTTGATTAGTATTAATTATTTGCATAACCCTTGTTTTCATGAAGTTTAGTTATTTTGACACTAAATTAAAAAGAGCATTTATTTGATGATATGCATTTGTTTTACTTGTCCACTTATCTTACATAAATCAAATTTGCATTTCAACATTTAATATTCCACTACCTCCTAAAGACATTTCTGTTTTCTCCCCATCTGGAAAATTCATAACCACCTTATTAAAGTCTTGGTTAAATTCTATATATATGTAGTTCTTTCCAGAAAAAGATGAAGAATGTTGTTTATCCTGGGTTATATTGATAACCACATATTCTTTGGCAATATCAATGATTGAATAATATTTGCTACCTTTTTGAAATCTATTAATGTGTTCTTTAATGTTCTGACTGTCACATAAGAGTTCAATTGCCCAATCTTTTTTATCATCAACATAAAAATCAACATAACCATCATCACCAAATACTGCACCAACATCAACTGAAATGAAAACATCTTGTGGAAGAACATATGTAGCAGAGTGATAAAACTCCATTTGAAATACCCTTTCTAGAAGACGACCATCACTACCAACACCAAGGGATCTGCAAAGAGTTTCAGGATTCATATTGACAAATGTCAATTTCAAAAAATCTCTAAATGTTTCTGGTGCTTTAGTTGAATGATTTGTTGAATCCACTCTGGTTTGCAAATATGCAACTCTAAGTAAAGGAGCTGCAAAATCAAGGAATTTATCATAATAATTGGCCCAGAAGCTACAATTGATAATAAATTGGTCTTATATAAATGTCCATAATTAGGGACTGTCTCAAGACGGATTGGTATTCCAGTTGGATTAAACAATACAGTATCACATAAATATGTTTCATCTTTGTCCATGTTTTTAAGGCCAAGAGCAGCCCTGGTTCCCTAAAATCATGGTTTGGACAAAAGAAAAAAATTAATTATTACAATCAGAATTTCAAAAAATACAATAATAATAAATTATTTCTTACCATTAAATTTAAATATTTAAATATTTCAGAAAATGTTAATCTTTTTTATTTTTTTTTAATGAGTATCCGTTATCTAAAATGATAATTAAACAAAAGGCATGACTGATTGTCACTTGGAAATTTATACAATACATTTGTAGTCCATACTGTAATTTGTACACCCTTTTAAGTGTAAGTCACATGGTAAAATATCATTTGCCCAGATCAACCTTGTATTACTAATAAATCCCAAGACTGATAAAAAATAAATTTTTTTCTTTACAATTAATTAATTAAATAACAATTAATTAATTAATAAAAATATGAGAGTTTATGTTTCCCCACTTTTCTTATAAATTTTAAAAGTATATCCATTCATTACATATAAACAATGCCACGAATTTCAAGCAAAATAGTTATTGGGGAATGAGTTAGTTGCAAAGCAACAGCATTACCGAAGAATATTATTTCACAACACATACAACAAAGCAATGAAAATTTAAAAAACCTACGTCTTTATGGTTTGGTTGTAGGAGAATTAACCGGAACACGTCGAATATTTCAAAAAAAGTTTGAAGAAATTGGTGATGGAAATTTGAACGTGGATATTCTTGCAGGAAATTTGCATCATGAAAAACAAGTATCTCCAAATCGTGAAATTGAGATTGCAGAACCTTTGATAGTTCAAGAGAATCTTTTTGATTATAGTGAGAGTAGCTCTGAAGAGGATAATGCTAGTGATGTTAGCAACATAGATCTTACTGCAACAGTGACATGGCAAGAGCAACCAGTAACTATTGATCAACGTGCAACTCATTTAGCATATAATTTGGCATGTAAAATTAATATTTTATCAATTAGTTTGGCTTCACCATATACTATATTTCGCCGATATCTTCCTATAAAGTATATTGAAGAAAATATTATTCAATCTATTAATTTATGTGGAAAACTCAAATTGGGTAAATATAGATATTAATGAGTACATGACCTGGTTAGGACTTTGGGTATTAATGTCTGTTGTTCCTGTAAGTGATCGCTGTTATTATTGGAGGACTCAAGAGGGTACACAACCTTTATTACCATTTAATTTTCAACGTTGGATGAGTATTTTACGTTTTGAACAAATAGTGTCAAATCATACATTAATGATGCCAAACGAATTAGAAATATCTGATGATAATGATCTATTATCTTCAGTACGTAGTTTTATTAATGCTTTTAATGCAAATTTAATTGAGGCTGTAATTCCTGGAAGTGTATTATGTATCGATGAGTCAATGAACTCATGGTTAGGTATCAAAAATAAAATTCCAGGTTGTCGTAAAATACCACGAAAACCACATCCTGTAGGACAAGAATGGAAGATTCTTGCTGATGGTTTGACAAATATTGTTATTCATTTAGAACCTTGTGAAGATAAAGAAATCGAAAAACATAAATGTTTTGCTTCAGATTATGGTAGTACTACTGGGTATGTATTACGATTAACACAACCGTGGTTTGATAGTGGCTGTACAATAGTTGGTGATAGTTGGTTTGGTTCACCAAAACTTTGCATTTTATTAATGCAAAATGGATTATACAGTATTTTTCATGTAAAAAAAAGACGTGGATGGCCAGTTGATTATCCTCGTGATATGGTTCAAAAACTTGATAGTACTTATGGATCATATATATCAAAAATTACAACAATTGATAATATACAATTAATAGCAGTTTCTTTACGAGATTGAAAACCACAATGTGTAATTGCAACAGCATCAACAACAGCAAAAGCTGATGAAGTTGAACATGTAATTAAAAATAATACTAGCTCAACAATTGTTACATTCACAAGACCAAAAGTTTTTTATGAATATTCACAAGCAAAAGGGGCCGTAGATATTAATAATCAGGTATGTTGGTTTATACTAGTAAGACCCATTACTTCGCATGTTACATCATGTGATCTATACAGCTTGAAAGATTTTAAATAATAGACTTTTTTATTTATAATAATATTTATTATATACTCATATATTTATAATACTATTAGATACAAGATCATATGACATCATTTCATGATATTATGTGAGGATCAAGTTGGCAAATGCGCATATTTTCTTTTTTATTGGGAGTTGCAGAAGCTAATGCTTTTCTTACATATAAAAAATGGAATAAAGAAGGACATAATATTTCACATTTTGATTTTCGAAGACAATTAACACATGAAATGCTTAATAGAAACTATAATATAACTTCGGGCCCACAAGTAAAAACACGATCTAAGACATCAGAACTACTACATAGTTTAGATACTTTTCCAAAAAGAAAAATTCATGGTAAAACGATTTATCCACAATTGCATTGCAGATATTGTAGTACAAGAACAAGATACTATTGTAAATGTAAAATTTCAAAAGCGGTGTGTATTAAATGCTTTAGCAAACATCTTTTAGATTTGTAAATAAAGAATAAGTTTTAAACAATCTGTAAATAAATTTCTTTTAGTTATTATCATATACTTTTATAAAATATCTATAAAAATTTATTATACTAAATTTAGTACAAAACTTTATACATAAATATTACTAGATCTTTTGCATAAATAAAATATTAGATTTAATATATAATTTAGTAAAATATAAAAAAAATTTATACTAAATTTAGTAAAAATCGCTAACGGATACTCATTAATAATTTTTTTTGAAATTAAAACATGCTTAGCCATGATATAACTTACCATTATATTAATACGCTTTTGGCTTTTTTCTTCTTTAATCTCTCAGATTGTACAAGTCTTCGGTTTCTTCATTTTCTGTTATCAAAGATTAACATATTTCTCACTTTCATCTTTCCTTATTTCCTCTACATATATAATACTCCTGCTTTAATTTTTTTTTTAAATATTAAAAAATTTTCGAAAATTAGAAGAATTGATTTATTATGTAAGAAAAGTATTTAATCGAGTTGGTAATTTAAGCCAATAATTATGGCCATTCTCCTAAACCTTTCTTTATTGTAAAGCTGTTCAAACAAAAATCATCGTTGATAACACTATTTTAGATCAATCATATCCAAATTGTATGTTAAACCAATTTCTTAATAAACATTTTATATTAATGATTTAAATAAAAAACAAAATAAAATAATAATGAAAATAATGAAAGTAATAAAATTATGACAATTATAAGTAAAATAATAATGATTGTATCTTTTCGATCTAAATTTTGATTAAATTCTTTTGCCACTTTTGCCCACAATTCCTTTTCTATTTCTTCTTGCATTTCCTTTTTTAATTCCATTTTTTCACTTGAACGTTTGAGTATTATTTTTTCCTTAAGAAATACAACAAAGCGACATAAATCATGATATATATCAACTTGGTTTGTTAAGATTATGTTGGATGGTGCTAACTCAGCTTCTAAAAACGCCAATCGAAGTAAAGTCAGGATATCTACCCATGACACCTTTTAGTTCACGGACATCTCGAGGGAAGCATAAGCAGTGCTATAAATTAAAAAATATATTAAAAATATATTTAAATAATATATATATCAATAACACACTGACCTTGCATTGAATAAGCAAAAGATACTTTTCTTCCTCATAAACAAAACCTCCTAACAGGTCTATTCCATTATCACCCGTATGTCTAAAAACAATAAAATATAAAATATAAAATAATAAGTTATGTTTCATAATTATCAAGAAGCAAAATAAACGTTCACAACAGGTCGTCCACCGTATATTGGGTCTGGGTACCCAACTGGTAACTTTCACAAGTTGTGGCCACGATGCGCTTTTATTTTTTTTCATACATCCTATTCACTACAGGCCCCGGCGCTGCAGCCAGCATGGCTTTTCGGATGATAGAAGAACGTTCACAACAGGTCGTCCACCGTATATTGGGTCTGGGTACCCAACTGGTAACTTTCACAAGTTGTGGCCACGAAGCGCTTTCATTTCTATTCATTTAAATCCTAGTAGCAGCGTAACTTCAGATATATAATAACTCGACATACTTAGTGAGTAAAAAAATACTCACACGGTTTTTGTAAGACCTATGTTATGATTCTGCAACGCATTCTTAATATGCTGCTCGAAATTCCTGCCTTTGAGAACGGCCATATTTAATTTCAAAATTAAATAATACATTCCTTTATATTTTGAAATATATATATAGGAATAAATAAAAAGGGACACACAACACGAGATAAAAAAAATCTTTTTTCAGTTTCAAGTTAAACCAACATGCGAGTTCATTTTTAACTGATAAGCATGATGTAAATGAGTTTCATATTAACTATTTTTGTCTAGACAAATTACATTGTATTACACTTATTGATCCCTGAAATTTTTGGGCAATACCAATGTTCACTTTGTCTGGTTTTGTTGCAGCATGCCCCATATTAGAATTTAATCTTTTTACCTTAGTGATCTTGTAGCATTGTCGAGTGTTCATATGTTTGCACCTTAATTAGAACCATAAAACAAAAATTCAATATTTTAGAGTGGAATTTTTTTTAAATCTAATTAATCGTATTTATCTTTATTAAAAATTAAATAAAACATGTGCAAGCATTTATAACACATTAAAAATATTGGAAATTAAAATTTGATAAATTGTGAATGATTATCATATCATATCATAGAAATATGCATCAATCATTATTAATCTGATAAAGAAATCTTTCACCACAAAGTAAAGATTATTATGATGTGATAACAGTAGGGATAGAATAAATTTTAGGCAGTCTTATATAGATTATTACTGGTAGCTATGATACTATTGATGTTACTGAGTAGTTTATAATTCTGAATTAGTAGAGATTAATTCCATACAGAAATCCAACAAAGTTGTTGATTCTATAAAAATGAGAATGTGGTTTCTATAAAAACGAGGTTAATGTTAATGCTTAATATTAAGATCAATACTTACTATCTATGTGCATTAAAATGATGCATATTTGGGATAGCAATGAAACAACCTTATAATCAGATGCAGAAATAATGTTAACGTGTATGGTCAAAACCATCCTTTCCAAATTTCGCAAGTCTCAAATTGTCTTCTACAGCATGAATTTTTTGATGCAATGAATTGTTGAAAGGACCAAAGCTTATTTAGAGATTGATGGTTTTTATTGGTGGTGATGGTGGTAAGTGTTTCTGTTACCCAGTGGAGATATGTTTTAGGGTTTTTAACTGTAACTGAAGCTTCATTCTCATACCGACATATCAAATATTCTATATTTCTATTTGCATGTTTTTTAAAATAGTTCCCTCTCTCATAGATGTGTCTCTTGGTTTGAAAGGAACAATAAACTCCTCAACGTAATCATCAGATAGATTTTCAATTATTACTTTAATAGGATTTATAATGATCATTAATCTTGGAACATTGACATCTAAATAGTTACGAGCATATTTTTCAAAGCGTGATGCTTGAATTGTCAATTTGACATGGTCATAAGCTCCAAGACAAATTGATTAATGTCTTTTGGTCTTCTTAAAGTTGTTAGTGTATGTAGCTGTGTATCATCCAATCTTTTATTTGAATTGGTGATCGTGATTTTGCTCTACAAAAAAAGCAAATTTATATATACATATTAATGAATACTATTATTCTTATATTATTTACAATCCCGTAATTTTATTGTTGCGTCGAGTGATCCTACAAAAAATTTTCGAGAGAAATAAATTATTATTATTGAGTATTAACTATGTAACATTACTCGTCAATAGTTATTCCATTTCCATCAAAATTGAAATCAACTGAATCGATTCATTAAATTCTTAATCTAATAAAGTGAATATATGTATTCTTTTGAATATACTTCCTTCGAAACATGAAATAGTTCTACCAGTTGAAACATCCCAATAAAATACCATCACATGATACAAATCACTAGTTCTATAATGTAATTAAATCATGTATTCTTAATATTTTTGATATACACATACACTAAACTTCTTTTCCATGTCCTGGATAGGTTTTATATTTAGTCCTGTCCCAGGATTCCAAGACAATATTAACGTATCTTGTCTAAATATTCACTAGCTGAATTACATTATGTAAAGGGCAGTAAATGTTCCAACACATTGTAATAGAAGAAGCTTCTCTAAATCTTTTGTTGACATTTTTTTTATGAAATAAAATTTTTTTATTGATTGTCATATAATGTGAACTTTTTCTATATTTATATATATTTATATACATGAAACCAGAACTTATATCTATTACTATAAAATTTGATATAAAAAAAATTTTAAATCATTTATATTATTATCGTTGTTGCTGTTGTTGTTATTAAATAAATAATATATATATATATATATATATATATTAAAAGAACATTAGATAATAAAATTTTTTTTTATTCTAACAAAAAAAAATTATATTATTTTTTAGCAGTAGAAGAATAACCATGAGGATGATTTTGATGAAATTTCCAAGCGGTTTCAACGATTTTTTCTATAGTAGTATATTTTCTTTTCCATCCAAGAATCTTCTCAGCTCGTTCTGAACCTGCAATCAAAATGGCAGGATCACCAGGTCTACGAGATTCCACTTTGGCAGGAATTGGATGATTGGTGACCTTTCTAGCAGCTTCGATAACTTCCTTGACGCTATAGCCTTCACCCGAACCTAAATTGAATTTTTGTGATTGATTTTCTTTTACAAGGTACTCCAATGCTTTAATATGAGCTGTGGCCAAATCTGTAACATGAATATAATCTCTTATACAAGTTCCATCCCTGGTATCATAATCATTTCCAAATATCTTTATTTGTTCTCTACGTCCAAGTGCAACTTGAAGTATAAGTGGGATTAAATGAGATTCTGGGTCATGATCTTCGCCTATCTCGCCACTTTCATGTGCTCCACAAGCATTAAAGTATCTAAGACAAACATATTTAATTCCATCAGCTTTTTCACTCCAATCAAGAATCTTTTCAACTGTAAGTTTTGTATCACCGTAAGGATTGATTGGTAAGGTTTTAGCATCATCAGGTATAGGTGTGAATTCAGGATTACCAAATATTGCTGCAGTTGAGGAAAAAATAAAATATTTCACATCATACTTCTTCATTGTTTGTAGTAAATAAATAGTACCTACAACATTGTTTTCATAATATTTTAAAGGATTTTCTACACTCTCTCCAACTTCTATTGATGCGCAAAAATGCATTACTGCATTTGGTCGATGCTTTTCAAAAATTTTATCTAAAGACTCTTTGTCACATATATCTCCTTTCTCGTATTTTATGCTTTCTGGTATGGATTCTAAATGACCTTTGGAAAAGTTATCAAGAATAATAATTTCATAACTTGGATATGATGTAAATTCTCTAACTATATGTGATCCAATATATCCTGCTCCACCACAAATTAATACTTTCATTTTTGGTTTTTTTTTTTGACAAGAAAAAAAAAAAAAGGATGCTGATGAATGAAACTTTAAAACATTTTTTGTGTAATTGGAGTTTCTATTCGTAATACAAATTCTCTATTCGAATTATTCGTAATACAACTCAAACTTAATTCAATTCATTAATATTAATATTAATTAATTCGTTTTATTCGAATCACTCGTTTTATTTATAAAATAGAAAATATTAATTCTATATTATTGTCAAGTGATTTTAACCATTTGTAAATTAAAATTATAAATAAGGTCTTATTTCCTTTAACAAGATAATATAAATTAATAATAATTATATATTTATAATCTATGACTTAAGAAAAGAAAACAAAAACGTCAATTACTTCTGCTACTACTATTGTCATTAAATTGATCTTCTACCTATTGATTCAACTGCCTAGGCCAGGAAATAAACATTTTTCATTTTGTCATCAAGTAGACAAAATCTTGCATACAACATCTTAGCAAATAATTCATTTTTACAATTAACACCAATTAGTGCCAATGTTTAAACAGTGCTATTTTTAACTTCAACCTTTAAATGACTTGTTTATAAGTAAAACTAGCGTTCCTCACATCAAAATGGGCTTTACGTGTGTGTATTTAAAAATACAATCACGACTGCTGTCGCACAAACACGCCTTTAAATCATCAATACAACCTGTATATTTAGTAAAAGTTGAGTGATTGCTTTAAACCCAGGCAATGGACAATGTCCAGATGAACATTATATATAACCGAAAAATCATATTTTTATTAAGTCAAAAAACCAATGCATAAGCCACTTTTGTTCTTTGAAGTATAGATATTTAAAAAGTATGGTCATTTTCAAATTTATGAGAGTAGAAATTTTATAGGCAAAAATATAATAATCAATTTTTGAATGGGAATACCATCGAAATTGTGTGTGGTAATAGCTCAAGGGTTTATGATAGATATAATATTGAATAATGAGTTCATTAAACTTATTCAAAAGGATGTAACAACAAATCTTTAAAAAAGTTATATTTTGATCCAGAAGAACTGTGAAGAAGTACAAAAAATGATATGACTGAATTGAAAGTAAACTCGATAGACTTGAAAAAACCATGATACAAATTGGTGAAAAGTAATTGTAAGTTTGAATTCAAAAAAAAACAGGTGGAAGAGAGAAACAAATACCCAAATGAAACAACTCTATAGGAAGGAATCAAATCAGCTTCGTATAAAAATCATTTTGAGAATTTAAACATTATATAGACAACTTCACTCGGGTCCTCGCTAGAGTAGAACAGATACCACATTAGCATTTAAATCCTTAAAAATCATAAAAATGCTATTTACTTTTTTCGTTTAAAGCAAAGTGCTTTGTAAAAAAGTAACCATTGTGGAGCTTTGGTAAAAGGCCACGTTTTATTTGATTTAGTAAGTAAAAGTTAGGATTAACGTTGGGTAACTCTTGAGTGTTAATTTAACAACGGCTAGTAAATGTTATTTGCTTTAGTGAAGCATTTTCCAAAGGTTACTGGTAGTATTATTCTAATAGAATCGTTATTGTAAATGTAAGACTGTTAAATGAGCTGTTCAAGTTGTATTGGTAAATAAACCAAAGCGACAATAAATATAAATAACAAGACTGAAATGAATTGGTCAAGGGAACTTTATAGAGGCTTTTGGGTTTTGTAAAAGAGTCATCTTTGTCTATTTACTGTGCCATTGAGTTGCTACTGATTCGCCAAAACTTTATAGATAAATTCGAAAACTGATTGACAAGCACCAAATTGTTGTGAATTAACTGACAAGAGTAGCCCAAAGCTAAGTCATAATCTGCCGTAGTTGTTAAATAATCACAAATAATCAGCGTTAACAAAAAGACTATCTTGTAATAGTGTAAAAATGTTATACAATGATGGACAACTTAGAGTGAATAATATCACATCGAAACATTATTACGTGAAACAAAATAAGTCTGTTTTTTGGAATAATAAAAAGAATTAGGTTCACCATGTCCTTAGTATTTATTTAGTTATCCGTAAAAATATTCGTAATCGCCAAATTTATTTCTAAATATGCTGAAACCTCTATTCGGCATGTAGACTAAGTATTAATGTAACCGGCTAAGGTATGGGTAAATTAATAGTAGAGATTTGGATATACTAAAAAAAGGAATGTCACACACAAAATCTCCACGGTCACGTGTATTTGTTTCCTTTTGGCGAAGATATTCAGTTTCGACCAATTATATTACCTAATAAAATTCGGATATTTTTGTGTGATATTCTTTATAAGGAAAAATTTGCAATTTGTTGTTTATTTCGTTTATATAATATTTATATTTTTATCTTAAAAGATATAGAGATAACAGTAAGAATCTAGTATTAAAATATGATAATTATGACGAATGTAATTTTTCACATTGTACAAAATATCGTATTTATAATAAATAAAATAAAATAAAAAATATACCATATATATTTTTTTCCCCAACTTTTAGAAAATTATAAATTGTTTTTCTCGAATGTAAAATTTTTTGTTTTTTTAACAAATAAATAAACGCATATATATAAATACTAACGTACATTAGGAAAACATATTTCCGTTATCTTAAACACGCTCTTTCTTTCCTTTTTTCAAAATTAATTTTTTTCGTTATTATATGTACACGCGTTCTCAAAATTTTTTTTACTTCAAATGGCACTTTCAAAAATATTAAGTTATTGTTCAGATAAAATTCTTAGGATATTCTTAAATCTAGTATTGACCATCTTGTTGCATCTTTTATGTTTGATTAAGGGCGAACAAGTTCACGTAAAAAAAGGTAAAATTACCATTAAAAATGTTTCTAACAACGATAAAACTAAGAATTAAAAATAATAATCCCATTGTAGAAAAATTTTCAGAAAAAAATACCGTTGATAGCAATGATAATGACAATAGTAATAATAATAAAAGTGAAGTAATTACTGGAACTCTTACCGAATTGAAATCGGATGAAAATGGGGGAAAAGAATATCAATCGGTCAATGAAGGAAGATCAATTCACAATATTGTACCAAATTCTGAAATTAAAACTTCTCGTATTAATAGAAGCAAGAACTCTAACATTGTACCATTCACGGTAAATATTTGAAAAAATGTGAGACATAATACTTTAAAATTATACAATGTGGTGTAATTATAATTCTCATTTACTTATTTACAGTTCCATTGGAAAGATGGCGGTAACAAAGTCTTTGTTACTGGTGACTTTAACAATTGGTCAGGTACGAAAAAATGTGCATGCGGTTTGGATTATTGAGCTGATTCTTTGACGATCCAAAGATCGTAATCACGTTAATATATGATATTAACATTATTGTTTATTGTTTTATAGCATCTAAACATGAAATGAAAAGGATTCCAAAAACAAATAATTTTGTTGCTATGATTGATATCGATAGTACTAAACAACACGAATTTAAATTTATTGTGGACGGTGATTGGTAAGAATAAATATTTATTTGAAAAATAATTTGTTTTATCGTTTTTTTTTGCTAATTTATTTGATTAAATAGGAAATTCAGCCGGGATTTTGAAACACATCATGATGAACGTAAGTTTTAACTATATTTATTATCCATGAATATTATATTTATAGCAAAGATTGTAATAATAACAACCATAATATCTAATGACTTTTTTAATTAGGTGGAAATATAAACAATATCATCCATGCTGCGTCAAAATCTGATTCTTTAAATTCTTAACATAACTATAATCATATATAAATATATTTATCTTAATATTTGTTTATTTTCATGTTCATGTAGGATTCTTCAATTCTCATTTTCACCCTACTAAATAAAACAAAATTCTAATCAATTAACCAATTCTTTTAATATATACAATTAATATTGCAGGTCAAATTATATTTTTAATCCATTTCCAAGTTCCCTATCTATATGTATACAATTTCCCTTTACCTTCTCTTTTAACTTTTTTGTTTCTTTTTTTTACTGCAAAAAAATAACCATAACCGTATCAGTCGTAGGACATGTCACAAAAATTTATTTCTACTGCAAAAACATAGTAAATTTTGATGATCGGCATCGAATTTTTCATAGTAAAATTTACAATTGAATACTTTCAAACCCCAGTTTAATGCCCTTGTTGTTTAGCAATCATCACCAAATTTGATATATAGTTTCTTTATAGTATACATCTATTTCATGAAAATTTTTGAGGCAGGTTGTTAATAAAACCGTAGATAATCACAACCTTAAAGTTTTTTTTTGTTTCTGTGATCTCGTGTGTAGAAAATTGTCATTCGTATTGATTGCGAACAAATAATTATTTTTTACAAGTAATTACAGAACCCAGTCATTTAGGTATGCTTTCTACTAGAATTTATTATATTATTACATATTAAGAATAGAATTTTGCTAGGGAAAACTTATAAAGTAATGTAAAAATTATTCATTATTATATATATACACACATATATAGTTTCAGCTTTAAATTTATTAATATACTATTGTATTTTTTTAATATAAAGAAAGGTTTCATTCTTGGTACAAAGGAAGATTTTGTTTTTGGTACAAAGAAAAGTTTTGTTTTTGGCACAAAAGAAAGATTTCATTTTGATATAAAGAATTAATGTTGATAAAGTTATTATAAATATAAGATGTTTAAATCAATTGTATTATAAAATTTAATATTCCATTTAATTAAAGAAAACATTAAACTAATAAATTTATAAACAAATTCTGAATTTACTTTTTTAAATGAATTCTTTGATTCAAACTTATTGGCAATATTAATAGAAAACAATGACCAGATTGATCTAACTCATTGCCAATATTAGTAGAAATCAATGACCAGATTGATTCTATATTAGAATTTGATGAATATTTATTCCAACAATCAATGAATGATGCTATTATTTGATGATAATATAAAAGAAAACCTGTCTATGAGTGAAATAAATGAAGATTATGAAGATAATCAAGAAGAATATGATA